TGTTAAATTAGCAAAGTAATTTCGGGTATAAAAATGATTGAAAAATGTTTTTCATTCTCGTTTACTGAAATTTGGCCAGATGCGGAATAAGGGTAAAAATAGGATAGATTTGAAATTTAGTAGGACATTTTATTACATGGAATAATTTTCTTTATAATATGGAATTTGCAATGCTTCAATATATTTAAAAAATAGTTTGATTAGAAAAAAATTAGGTTAAAGAAGTGTATTTAAATAATTATATAGTTTCTAAAATAATTCATTGTACAAATAATATCAACTGCTACTAAAATAATAAAATCTATAATAGTATATTATGCAACGATCATGTAATGATGGTTATTAATACACGTGCATTAACCGGGATACGAAACGAGCCGAAGGCGACTTTCGTATGGTTTATGCTAGTGTATTAATAAGCATTACATGAGAGTTGCACACACTATTTTTGCTACACCCGATAAATAATCACTCGCGTTTCTATAAAAAATTCTACAAAATTGTAATTAATGGTATTACCTCGGGTATTGGTATTATCATAGATTTTTGGGGCAAAATATTTTGTACTGCATTTTCTGCTTTCTCCGATATCTGTGGAGGAGTCGATGGTAAGTCTTCTATATCGCTGATATCAGACATTTTGATAATATAATTATCGAAATTTAGATATCTACGAAAATTTAACACGTACTGATATTGACAACTAAAACAATTACATAGGAACCTAGGACAACCGTCAAATGCACAGCATGCTCGATTAAAAAATTATGGGTTTCTATTGATTAAACATCTGTATCGTTATAAAAAACCTGTATCATAATGAGTATCATTATGAAACGGATTATGGGCATATAAGTGCATTATTATAATACGGGTGTAGAAAAATCAGCCTTATATATAATGCATTTAACAAATGTTTCATAATATATTTACATGTTTTCTAACTTATCTGTAAATGAAACATAGAAAAAATACTTCATTGTCCTTACAAGGTATTCTTGATTTTGTTGCTGTTTGCTCTGATGATTTGTAAACTGTATAATTTTTTAAAGAAAGATTGTCTTCTTCTCAAGTTAGAATAAATAAAGAAAGAAGATGATTTAATTTCTTATCTATACAAATATATAAAATATATTAAATTACATTATTTAACGTATAATATAATATTACGTATTTTGCAATTTTTATAATACATTTAAATGCTTTTAATCGTAACTTAGGCTATAAGTTCAAAATTATTTCGGTCTGTACTGGTTGAAACTCAAAAAGACTTTTTGCAATTAATATTTTAAAAAATTACTGAGTAAACAGAACCGTTGTGTTTTTTAGTCTCCGGCTTTGATTGATCCGCATTTTATGATGCTGCCGTTGAATTATGTAATCATATTTTATTGTTGCCAACTTTGAAATATATTGCGTGATACAAAAAATTACAGAGGTATGATACTTAGCTGCCGAAATCTCATCAAGTTCGCTCATGATGTATTGTGTTGTGGAATATGAATGATTGGCCATGACCTAATTAAAAATTATTTTCGCGCTCTGTTTTCAATTATCTGAAATCTCAAATATGTAAAAGCTACGCCTTCTACTACAATATGTCGCCCTAATGTAGTATCAATAGGTGTAATACAATATCTTACTTTTATAGTATCATGGATATACTGCAACTTTTATCTTTTTGACTTCAACGATCTTATAAACAGACTGGAATGAATTATACGAATTCTTCTCAGTTATTATCTGCAAGGTTATGAGTTTTTGTTGTTAAAATAACTAAGTAATGTAAAAGGACAAACAACATCTAAAGTTCCGTCATATTTTATGAACCCTGTACATCGGATATTTTTTGTTTTTAAATATGATGTAATTATATCAGAAATTATAAAATAATTTAATTTTAATTTTCTAAAGAGTAGGGTGTTTGATATTATTTTTTACAACGTATATGGGGTTAAGCATAAGAAATGTATTTTTAATCATCGGATATTATCGACTAAATTAAAAAACAATACTATAATTAAATTAGTTAAAAAAGTACCTGCAAATAAATATAGGTATTAGAGTGTTTTATAAGTACCTAGATTAAAATAAAAAATATTAAAGAAAATACTTTTAGAATAAAAACATTAAAAGTTTTTATCAGTTATTCTCGTCCATAAATATTAGTTTTTGTAGATAGATTTTGAAGTAATAGGCATAGTAACTACTATAATAGTAGTTACTACATTAAAGGTAGTTCGCTAATAATTAGTGAAGTATCTTTAATGTTATTTTACTTTTTTGAGCTAATTATTTTTGTTCTTTATTTTTTTATTATTTGAATAGCTTCTAAAATATAATCATGTTCTCTTAGTGACATTCCCCGATCATACCCTGGATCTATCAATTCAGGCAGCATACAACTTTTTTAACTTTTCCATATTTTTACAATCTTCTCAGTATTAAACTATTTAATGAACAACCAAATTGTGGTGCATGATTATTTATGTCCATTAGTTGTTGCATGAAGAACTGATTATCAATAATACAATGGTTTTCTAGATTTATTTCGGTGTATTCATTTTTTTCAATTAATCTTTTTCTGACTCTAATTTGACCTGTTTTCAAATTCACGATTACTTGCTCGTTAACGTCTGCCTGAAAATAATAATTCTTAATAACACATTTATTAATTATCCAATGTATAAAACATGTTGAATGATATACCTATCTAATACGTTTGAATTGGAGATTCTTACCAAAATAGCGTAAAAAATAAATTGTTGAATATGTGATATTTGTAATAAAAAAACCGGCTAACTGCGAGTCTGAGTTGCGCATGAAAATTTAATACTATATATCTACTTTTTAAATACTTTATTAAGATTGAGCAAAAAAGATAAAAAACTCGTTTCTAGTAGGGGAGCCCTCTTTAATTTTTAATTTATTTTTATGATTTGTTGTTATAGCGGCATAAGAAATACACATTCTGTGAAAATTTTAACTTTCTACTTGTTACAGATCATGAGATACACTGCTTTATTAGACAGATTTGTCGGACAGCAGAGGCTTAGTGATAAGAGTCTCGTTGGTTATCTTTCGGGTACAGAATCCTATAAAGGCCTATTGAAATTGGTAAACTTAAAAAAGGAGACTACTGAGTTATGACACACTTACCTGATTTAATTCTGGCAGCGTAAAAGGTTGCTCCTGTTTGATCACTGAGTTGTGCGGCAAAATGGAAATCACGTAGTTGTAAAATATATTATACTTTTATTATTAAATAAAAAAACGGGTTGTATTGCAGAAAATTATACGTAAATTAAAAATATAAATAAAACTTAACGAAGTAACGTAACCTATGCGGCCTGGAGTCATGGCGGGTTATTCATCTCTAGAAATTCGGTGGTACAACTAGACGGTAGGATTATAGCTACCTAATGTCATTTAGTACAACTCGTTCCCGATTGAGAAAGGTTGAGGGTTATGTGTTTCGGCTTATCCATAAAATAGATTAATACGATTCTTTTCCTTAGCTTTATATTATTTTATCAATGTGCAATATGCATTTTATAGTTTTATAAAACAATTATTCTTCTTGACTTTTTACAATATATAAGTTTGATTTATAATTTCAAAGTAGTTTTAACCATTTTGAAATATTTTTTTATCGAGTTTTCATTGTAGACTCGTTGTTTGGAATTGTCCTTTTTTTTAAAAATAAATGTCTGTCTTTCATGCCATTCTTCAAACGGATATAATCAGGGGCGCGCGGTCCATGGAAGCAAGGGAAGCACCGCTTCCCTACACTTTGAGATTTAAAAATAAATATTTTTCAGTTTACAATGCATAGAAATTAATTATAAATTAGGTACTATATTTTCTCTGAAACATTACGTAACCTTCGTAAATGTACTAAAAATTCATTGGTGTAATGTGTAAATGCACGCACCACCAAGAGAAAATTAATTGTGTAAACCTACACATCATATAGGTACTTCAAGTCCGTCGGCGGAAGCGCGTCTTGAAAAAGCCGGCTCATCTTCCAATTGATTTTGCTTCGTGTTATTGACCCTGCTTTTCCGCGACACAATAGTCAGTCTGTTTGGACACGTGAAATACGGTCGAGAGGCAGCGATTTTTACGTCGCCTTACGCATAATGCAATTGACGTGTGAGAAAAATCGTAGACTTCAGATAGATTTCGGTTTGTTTTTTGTAGTTGTTTTTCTTTTTGTAAAATGGAGGAACTATGCACTGTGTCTGTGAACAATAATAATGTGGTAAATTGTATCTGTATTGTGTGCTCTTTATTGAAAAAAGGATTTTCAACTAGACATTTTGAAGAGAAAAAGAACATTATTAATTCTAGTAGACGAAAGTAGAAAAGTCAGCAAAGAAATTTACCAGGGTTCTATGAAAAGTATGAATGGTTAACCGGCTGCAAAACTTTGAAGAAATTGTTTTGCTGGCCTTGCCTACTTTTTAATATAGACAAAAAAACACATTGAAACTCAGTCGGTATTACAGACTTGAATAATTTCCACAAAATTGTAAAACGACATGTAAATAGTAAATCTCATATAAGTGTTATAATTAAAGAAAAAACATTCGGAACCTATCGCATTGAACATAGTTTGGACAATCATTTAAAAATAAGCAACAAAATTCACAATGAACGGGTAAAAAAATAGGTACGTCTTACAACGATTAATAGATGTAACTTGTTTTCTGGGAGAGCATGAACTAAGTTTTAGAGGTCATAATAAAGCAAAAAGATCCGCCAATCGAGGAGATTACATGGACCTTCTAAGTTTTTTAGCAAAATACGATGATACCCTAAAAAATCATTTTATTGATTCGAGTTACCTCAAGCAGAATCCAAAATGATTTAATTAAATGCACTGCCGACGTTGTGATGGATCACATTAAATGTGAAATTAAAAAAGCACCTTTCGTATCAATTGCGCTCGATGAAACCACAGATGTAGCAAACTTAAGGCAATTATTCATTGTGCGATGTGTATTGGATGGCATTCCTCAAGAGCGATTCTTGTTTGTGACATTATTTCAAGTTTAGAATGTGGTTCAAAGCTGGTGAGCCAGAGCTACAATGGTGCTGCCGTAACGGCTAGCCATTTAGGAGGCCTTCAAGCTAAAGTGAAAGAGAAGTTTAAACATGCAATTTTGGTTCATTGTATAGCACATAGACTTAATTTGGCTTTATCGCGAAGCATGGAAAATATTAAAGATTCCAAAGTTTTCTTTTCAACGCATAGTGGTTTGGCTTCCTTCTTTTTAAAGTCATCGAAAAGATCTCGCGCTTTGGGCATTCACATTCAAAAAGGTTTCCAAAAGTTGCTCCGATGCGATAAAACTACAATGAACGTTTAGTGCAAACAGTGTTTCAATACCGTGATTCTTTGATACACTTTATTTAAGACGTTTGGGATAATAAAGAAACATGGGATGCTGGAACTGTTACTGCTGGTAAAGGGTATTTGCATTGGCTCTAACAAAACTTTGATTTCAATTTTTTGCTCAATATTTTTGCAGAGATTTTCCCTTTTACTGATATTTTATTCGACTTTTTATAGACAAAGTGAATTGACATTGGCTTTTGCATTAAACAAATTAATGATTTTAAAAATAAAATGAATAAAAAAGAGACCAGTTTGAACACTTTTGGAATAAGACTCAAAACATTGGTTTAGAACCTTAAATAAAGAGAATTAGAATTTCAAATCTTTAATGAATTAAAATTTGTTGAATTGTGCAATTTTTACTTTCCTATCTGTATACAGATATAAGGAAAGTATAGGAATCATGATTTTTTTCGACCTTAAGTTTTCAACGGATTTTTACGTTTTGAGGTCCCCTGAATCCGTTATCCGTTTTGACTATTTTTCCGATGATGTGTGTGTGTGTGTGTGTGTGTGTTTGTTTGTGTGTGTGTGTGTGTGTGTGTGTGTGTGTGTGTGTGTGTGTGTGTGTGTGTGTGTGTGTGTGTGTGTGTGTGAGTGCGTGCGTGCGTGTGGTTGCGTGCGTGCGTGTGGTTGCGTGCGTGCGTGCGTGTGGTTGCGTGCGTGCGTGCGTGCGTGCGTGCGTGCGTGCGTGCGTGCGTGCGTGCGTGCGTGCGTGCGTGCGTGCGTGCGTGCGTGCGTGCGTGCGTGCGTGCGTGCGTGCGTGCGTGCGTGCGTGCGTACGTGCGTGTGTGTGTGTTAATTTTTTTATAGCAACTGGTTTAAATAAGTCCCTTTGTGAAGTCGTCAAGTTGTGTAAATTAGTACCAACCATCCCAGCCACAAGTGCGTCAGTTGAGCGAAGTATTTTAGCTTTAAAGCGCATTAAAAGTTTTATACAAAATTCAACAAGTAAAGACAGACTCTCTAATTTAGCCCTAATATCCATTAAAAAACAGCTTGTTAAACAGTTATCAGAAAATTCAAAATTTTACGACGATGTTATAGACAAATTTTCAGCCATTTAGAATAGGCGAATAGATCTTAAGTATAAAAAAATGTCAACTGCTGTGTCAACTGTGCGAAAAATGCTGAAAAAAATAAAAAAAAAACTTCTTTTTTTTTACGTTTAAATAAACCTAGGAAGCTTTTCAATGGTAAGTTTTTTGATAGCTTCTAGTACTAAACTAGGTAATAAAGTAATAGTAACACTTCAAAAATCTCATTCTCGAATATTCGTAGTACTGAGGAAAAAAAGCAAGAATTTGACAAAATGGTGAATGCGCCGCAAAAAAATTTCCCCTGCGGCGCTGTGCTTACTGGCCTGCTGTATTTTTATACAATCGCTTCTCTTCCAAAAATCTCACCGCTCGCCACTGTATAATACACAAATAACAAAGTATCTAACTTCCATCTCACCTCACTATCCTAATAAATTTCCATTTCCTACGATAGGAGAAATGCTCCTCGACAACTGGTACCTGAAAAGTTGAAGGTAGGGGTATTGCAAGACTGCCGAAAAATGTGACAAAATTAAAATAAAACTATGGCTCAACGACGTATGAGAAATGTTTTCTGGTCTAAGAGTAATATATGAAGAATCCACTCGAGTTAAATAGTATATTTTTCATGAGTCATATAGAGAACACTACAAAAATAATAAAATAAGAACAAATTAAGTGTTTAAATTGAACTCGAAAAAGAGTTTAGGGCATTTCTAAGTGATTGTAAAACACATTCACTCAGTATATGATTCTGAGAGGTAAAGGAAAAAATAGGTTAATTCTAAAAAATATGATTCATTAGAAAAATAGAATTTTAAAATTAAGCCTCCCTTTTTTCCTGAATATGATTAACGATCAACATTATGCCTTCTCCTCCGTCTTTGTATTTTTCTAATTCCACAGTAGCAACTTCTTTCACTTTGGCCTGCTAAATTCCATGCCCCGTCTTAATAACGAATTCTGGCACACTGACACTTTGAAAAATGTTTTAATTTAAAAAAAAAAAAAGAAAAACACATTTGATATATCAAATCATTTGTCATGCCTATTCATCTTTAGTAACATTTTAAGTGGAATAGATGAGATTATGTAGGTATAAAAAAAAAATTGTGTAATTGCTATTTATATAACGAGTCTTCAATAATACCCGTATCCCTCGTAATATCTAGTAAAACAAGAAATTTAATGAAAATTGCCATTCTTAGTGACTTTAATGACAACTTAAGTTCTTTGATGTAGGTCAGTTACATTGTTTTAGGGTTACTATTGAAGGTAATAATGTGACATCAATTTAGTCACGTGTGGTATAGATATTTATAAATACTTCTGGATACAGCTTTTGGCCCAAGGGATTCATGTCACCCGATGGGCGTTATAATTTAATAACGCACATTGTGCTTATGTGCTTGCATGATTTTATTTTTCACCCTAAATTTATATATAGTTTTATATACATTTTATTGAAATAGTAGTTTGTGCAAAACGAGTGGATATGGAGAATCCACTCGAGTTGTACGGTATATTTGTCTACGACTCGCTAACCAAAATCTACAAACTAAATAAAATATTTTAGGTTATTAGGAAAAAAATAACTAATTTTATAATATTTTATGAATTTTTACTAATTTATAAAATAAATATGAAAAAAGAAAAAGATTTAATTTCATTAGTCCCCACAGATTCGATCCCGGACTTTTCGCGTGAAAGGCAGATGCTCTATCCTCATCTCCACCACTACTTATAGGATTTTAGTTTTATTACTGGTAAATAAATTAGTATTATATAGTTTGATTAAAATTTATTTTGTTTAAATGTGGACCAAATAAAAATAAAAATGCTATTATTTATTGATTCTATAAAATATGCTTATTTTAATATATATTTAATCTCAATAGCTAAAAAATATACTATTAGTTATTACTATGTAAGAATTTTAGAAATAATAGTACTTGGGTGTTCAAAATATGGACTTTGATTGGGGGCATTTATTTTCTGCAGTGTTTTCACTACCTAGAATGGATGTGAAATACATTCGTTCAGTTGAACGCAATATCTTTTTCGTTTTGTAGTCTGTGCGTAAAGTGAAGTAAAGTAAAGTAAATTTTATTTGACTACGTTACATATTACAATATGTGTAGCAGGTTACAGAACGTACATATTAAAATAATGGCTTATTTTGACAAAATACACAACGAAATAACTATATACATATAATTGTTAAGTAGAATAAAATAACTCAAATTAAGTTAGGTGAGTATATATAAATAAAAGAGAAAACAAAATAAAGTAGAAGGTTTAAGAATTATGAAAGTTTACACCGATCGATATATTCCTCCACGCAATAAAAACAATGTTGATATTAATTCAAATTACACTTTTTAAGCGTGGTGACCGATAAGAAAACAATTTTTTTCTCTTATTGAATAAATGAGAAGTTAATATTGTTTAAAATACTTTTATTATCTTACAATACATGTAGGTTATTCAGGAATTTTTATCATTGAAACTATAGGTTTATGGTAACTGAAATAAGAAACATAAGTTTGAGACTTGATATCCTCTAAATATCTGGAAAATACCGCGTCAATGGTGATCCCATATTTTGTTGTGGATTCTTGTGGATCATTATTAATTTTTAAATTCAATTTATCCGAAATTGTGTCTAAAAGAGATAGAATCAGTTAGCAGCTAGTCTGCACGCATACGTCTAGTCGCACGCACACAAACACCGTGCCGAAGTCTGCCGGACTAAAACGACGTTAGACGATGTACAGCATTCAACGCCGCACCGCTGTGCCGGTCGAAGTGGGGGGGTGTTAGGTTTATTTTCGTTACGGAATTTCTGTTTCGATTTTTCGTTTTTTCGATTTTTCGATTTTTCGATTTTTCGATTTTTGGATTTTTGGATTTTTGGATTTTTGGATTTTTGGATTTTTGGATATTTGGATTTTTGGACTTTTGGATTTTTGGATTTTTGGATTTTTGGATTTTTGGATTTTTGGATTTTTGGATTTTTGGATTTTTGGATTTTTGGATTTTTGGATTTTTGGATTTTTGGATTTTTGGATTTTTGGATTTTTGGATTTTTGGATTTTTGGATTTTTGGATTTTTGGATTTTTGGATTTTTGGATTTTTGGATTTTTGGATTTTTGGATTTTTGGATTTTTGGATTTTTGGATTTTTGGATTTTTGGATTTTTGGATTTTTGGATTTTTGGATTTTTTGATTTTTTGATTTTTTGATTTTTTGATTTTTTGATTTTTCGATTTTTCGATTTTTCGATTTTTCTATTTTTCTATTTTTCGATTTTTTGATTTTTCGATTTTTCGATTTTTCGATTTTTCGATTTTTCGATTTTTCGATTTTTCGATTTTTCGATTTTTCGATTTTTCGATTTTTCGATTTTTCGATTTTTCGATTTTTCGATTTTTCGATTTTTCGATTTTTCGATTTTTCGATTTTTCGATTTTTCGATTTTTCGATTTTTCGATTTTTCGATTTTTCGATTTTTCGATTTTTCGATATTTCGATTTTTCAATTTTTCGATTTTTCGATTTTTCGATTTTTCGATTTTTCGATTTTTCGATTTTTCGATTTTTCGATTTTTCGATTTTTCGATTTTTCGATTTTTCGATTTTTCGATTTTTCGATTTTTCGATTTTTCGATTTTTCGATTTTTCGATTTTTCGATTTTTCGATTTTTCGATTTTTCGATTTTTCGATTTTTCGATTTTTCGATTTTTCGATTTTTCGATTTTTCGATTTTTCGATTTTTCGATTTTTCGATTTTTCGATTTTTCGATTTTTCGATTTTTCGATTTTTCGATTTTTCGATTTTTCGATTTTTCGATTTTTCGATTTTTTGATTTTTCGATTTTTCGATTTGTCGATTTTTCGATTTTTCGATTTTTCGATTTTTCGATTTTT